CGCACCATTTTTAAAATAAGCCCTATATTGCCCATGCAACCTAAAATTAGTTTAAAAATAGGACACTTTTTCTATGCTACTCCCCCCCCCCCTCCCCCCGCAGTTTAGCCACTGAGAGTAGTACTGACATTTACTTAAAACTAAAAACAGAGGTGTTCAATTTAATAAATTTTAGTTATAAAGAAGTATATTTAGAAATATATTTTTTTGTCTTTACTTTTATTATGATTTAATTGATTAAATACTAAAACAAAATTTAAGTTTTTAGCCTCCCCCCCTCCCCTTTTAATATAGATTTCTCCTAAGAAGTAAATTACCAGTGTTTTTATTGGTTGATTTTAAAGTGAACGCACGTTTTTTCCGGACCGTTAGTAAGATGTTTAAAAATGCTAAGCTGTTTATAAAAATATGTATTCGTAAAAGTTGCTGAGGTTTTTAACATTGTTTAAATACCCATTGTGTTTTTTTTAGATGCATTACTACTTTAAGTAAAGTTTGGAATTACTTAACTAAATCATTTTTATTTATAATATCTTGATTATGTGTTGTTTGATCAAACAATAAACTATAAATGTAACTTAAAAGAGTGTTATAAAAGTAACAACACTGTAGTGTTATTACTTTTGTAGTCATAAATTTATTGTTTTGTTTTTCATAACATTTTCATTAACAAATTAAAGTTTATTCGCCTATTCCGTAAATTTCGTGGTTTTCCATAAACTGAAACTTTGAAGACCAGATAATTTAACAGATATCGCAAATCGCGATGCGTTAATTCAACCCTTGATATATATATATATATATATATATATATATATATATATATATATATATATATATATATATATATATATATATATATATATATATATATATACATATATGTATGTATGTATGTATGTATGTATGTATGTATGTATGTATGTATGTATGTATGTATGTATGTATGTATGTATGTATGTATGTATGTATGTATGTATGTATGTATGTATGTATGTATGTATGTATGTATGTATGTATGTATGTATGTATGTATGTATAAGTGATAATTTTTAAATAAATTAAAAAATTTATTCTGTAAACAAACTTGATTTAGTCTGACTTATTATGTTTTAATTATTTTGATAATATTTTATAAATGTGAATCGTATTAAAACTAAGTACTATTTCTAACTAAAAATAAATTTTTTCAAAAAGTTGAGCATTTTATTAAAATTGCCAACTTAAAACAAAATAAAACATTGACAAAAACAAGCTGAATAAATCGAATTTACCCTGAGATTTATGTACTTTATATACATTTTGATATAAAATCTAAAAGTTTTAAATTAGTCGCAATAAAATAGGCTATAAAATAAAACTTTATTAAAATTTTTTTTATACCATATGCATGCATTCTATCAAGTTTTCCTTGCCTTTCCATTACGGCAAATTATTTTTGTAATAGCTAGTTATTGAGACAATAATTTTTAATGTTACTTCCTCAACATTGTCAAAACAACGTTTTATTAACCATGCCAAAGTAACACTTTTTCAACGTTTTTTAATTACCACGTTTTCAACCAACGTTGAAATAACGTTGAATAAATGTTGTTTTTCAAATAGTTTAAAATCGTTGAAAAAGCAGCTAATGTCTAACGTTGATAAACCATTACCTTTGCGACGTTTTTATAGTGATTATTTGAGTACTTATTTTCAACATTTAATAAACGCATTTTTTTGAGAAGATAAGATACGTTTAAATTTATACACTTATTCAACGTTGAAAATGTAACGTTTAAAAAGCGGTTTGTTTTTAACGTTGATAAAGAATATACTTCGAAGCGTTTTTAAAGTGGCTTTTTGCGTAAGTTGATTCCACGTTAAATAAACGTTTTATTTTGAGAGGCTTAATTACGTTACAATTTACAATTTACAATAATTTACAAAAATTTACAATTTCAACGCTTATTCAACGTTTCAATTTACCGCGATTTAGTATACAAAAACAGACATTGATTCAACGTTGAAAGCACGTTGTTTTTGTGACTGTAACGCTTTTTCTACGCTGCAACTGGTTTTCAACGTTGATTCAACGCTTACATGTTTGCTGGGGAGCTATCAATGAAATGCATTTAACAGAAAGACAAACCTAATTATAAGTCTTTTATAAGCTCTACGTATACGGAAAAGGTGCGCATGTTAATTTTTTTCTCCTAAAGGTTTTTGCAGAACAAATTTATTTTACTAAAAAATATTGAAGTAAATAAGGAATAGGTATAGAAATAATCGGTGTGGATTAAGTATGTATAGAAATGATAAGTTAGGTAAAGACCCATATTTTACGGATCCGGAAAGCTAGGATATATAAGAAAAAAGTATTAAAAAGTTCGGTTTGAACTAGACTTACAAAGACCCCTATTTTCACGGGTCCGATCTCAGCTAGTATTTATTAGATGTTAAGAGTAATATTGTAAAATGTGTGCAAATTGACGAATTAACTAAACTATACTTTTGACTGATTGACAAAAGATCAAAAGTCCTTAACCCAATCGTCTAAGGAAACCATTTTGGATTTGGGTTTGTTTGATCCAAGGCTACAGTAACAGTATTTTGAAAAAAAAAAACATCATTTCATAACAGATTGAGGCAATAATTATGAAGTTTGTTGTGTGATTAGTAAAAAGCTTAAAAATGAACAAAAAATGACTTTACAGCAGCCAAAGTACATTGAGCAGCCGTAGCGCAGTGAATAGCGTGCTTGCCTCAGAAGCAAGAAATCCATGGTTCAACGCCATATATATATGTATATATATATATATATATATATATATATATATATATATATATATATATGTATATAAATATATATATATATATATATATGTATATATATATATATGTATATAAATATATATATATATATATATATGTATATATATATATATATATATTATACATATATATATATATATATATATTATATATATATATATATATATATATATATATATATATATATATATATATATATATATATATATATATATATATATATATATATATATATATATATATATGTATATATATATATATATATATATATATATATATATATATATATATATATATATATATATAATATATATATATATATATATATATATATATAATATATATATATATATATATATATATATATATATATATATATATATATATATATATATATTATATATATATATATATATATATATGTATATATAATCTTTGAATGTCATTTTTTTGTTATACGTTAAAATATGGTTAGAATTCAATAAATACGGCTGCGTATAAACTTTTTTTAAATATATATGTATTTTTTCTTTAATATATAATTATTTCGATATTTCGCTGATCTATTGTGATCAGCGCCATCAGGTATAATAAATAAAATAGTTACAAAAATCGTTATAGTAAAAACAAACCGTTAAAAAGATAACATTAAAAAGCCAAAATAAAATACAGAAAAGTTTTTTTCAAATAACTGACGTCAGCAGATTTTATTAAAAAATAGCCCTCAGGTTTTGGTTGTTACGTTATCACCGTCATCCCGATTGAGAACCATGTCACCATTTTTTAACTTCTGTTGAGTCTTAGCCTTGCTTATTTCGAGTGACTCTCTGATTTTCCGAGTTCGATATTCTGGGGCTACAGATAATGTTTTGGGGTGCAACCAATCAAACTTACCATGGCATATTTTAGAATGCTCAGTTGCACCCGAACTGGACCATTTTCCTTTTAAGCTGTTTTTTTGGTGTTCAATACATCTCGATATTACCTTCTTTTTAGTTTCGCCAATGTATATCGAACCGCATGAACATTTTAGCTGGTATACGCCAGGGTCTGTGTTTAGTGGTAGTTTAGTTTTATTGTTGCAGAAAGTATTTTTTAAATAGGGAGTTGATGTGAAAATAACCTTTATGTTTTGTTTTCTAAATATTACAATAGACTATTTAAAGAACGGTTTAAAAAACACCACATTTCAACCAATAGATACCCAACCCATTATAAAACTACCTTGGATACCAATTGTTGGTCCAAAACTTCGTAAAGAAATTGTTGGTCCAAAACTTCGTAAAGAATTGGTCAAAAATTCCTGTGATTATCTTGGGTTTAAAACAGAGTTTGAATCACGTTATTTTAATTGTTTTTTTCTGTACTAGCTGTTACCAGAAACTTCAGCACAAGCAACAACTAAGAGGTGAGTTATAAAATGATTCGTTTTTTAAAACTTTTAAATTTTTTAGGCATATTTCTAGACGTGTTAATTTGAAGCACACTTTATCAAACTTATTAATAGTAGGTAAATTACAATGAATATACGTTTTAAAATTGAAATTGGAATGACATTGTGATCTTTTTGTGTTATTTAGTTGCTTAACAAAAGAAAATCTTCCCAAACATCTTCCTATCTAATGTATAATTTCAAAAATTTCCACTCTCACTTAAAAGCATAGTTATAAACACAAAAATTGACAAATTAATATTAATATAGTACAAACAGATAAAATTATATTTTCTGTCGCTTAGATTCACTAGATAAAAGAAGATTTAAATAACTTATCTGATATTGATCTGATTAATCATAGATAAGAACTCGGCGACACTTTGATATTTATTACTTCAAAACTTGCTCAAGCAGTTGCTCTTATAAAATTCTTTAGATAAATACTTTTTATAGATTAAAAAATTTTTCGAATAAAAATGTATTATATGTTGACTTTTTGAAAAAAAACAACATGACGTAAAATTCATGGATAAGCGTTTCAAATTTTAACAGTCAAACAACAGTTCAAATTTTAACATTGTAACATGAAAACAAGTCTTAGTTTGTAATCTTAGTTGCCAAACATTAAAAACGGTACAAATAATAAGTAAGTCAAGTTGGTTTTTTAAACAGAAAATGTTTTTTTAATTGAAACGATTATTTTGAATTCAATATTTTTTGAAATTTTTTATTTTTCTTGCTTTAGTTTTAATAGGTTTCTATTGGTGCAATGACATCATCATTACGGCATAACCTAACACATACACAGAACATAAAGGTAAAAAAGAGCACATAAATTGTAACTGTGTATGCCCTTTTCAGTTATTTCATTTTTCAACTATAAAAAAATCTCCCACCCAACTTGAAGCTTTGATTAATTTTGTTAACTGCCTAAAAGTTCCTGGGATTACTGATTTTCCAAAGAAAAACGCACGAGTTTGCTCCAATCATGTCAAAGATACAGAGCCCACATTACAAAATTCTCATCCCACTGAAAACCTTTGATGCGATTTTAAACATAAAGTTGTTACTTTGTGCCCTAGTTCTCAACCAGATATCCACATAAGGCATATCCACAGAACATAAAGAAAAAAGTGCATTAAATCTAATTATTCATCCGCTATTCAGTTATCTCCTAAATCAAATATATTTCTGAATAAAAGTTCTTACAACATGGATATTTAAGAATAGTAATCTAAATATTAATACTGCAGTGAATATTATTAGTGTCGTTTCACTTTCGTTTTTGGGGTAGTTTCTAGACTTTTCTAAACGCGGTATTATATTCCACGCCGTCTTTCAAGCAAGGTTTTCAAGCAAGTTAGAGTTGATATATTTTTAGTTTTAAGGAGAATTGATGTTTTCCATTGTTTAAAAACTAAAACAAAAATTTAAATAATTGTTTGTTTGTTGTTGGTTGTTTTTCACTTTTCTAATTTTTATAGCCTGTTTTCATTATTCAGAAGAAATTACAACTAAAATGACTGGTAAAATAGTTTTTTAAGTGCAATGTTTCTTTTTTAGTAAGCTGTTTCAGTTTTGTCGTTAGTCTTTTTAGAACATTTTAAGCAAGTATTATTTTCTTTTTTAGAGCAGTAAGAGGAGCTGATGTCGTTTTTAGTAAGTTCAATTCATTTTACTATTTATAGATTAAGATGAAGTTATGTCTGCATCTTTGTTACATTAAAAATAATTGATGCTAATAAATGCTGTTTTATAGTTGTTAAAAGTTTGCATATATGTTTATATTATGCTCAAAGTTAAAAAGTTTTTGATAAATACGTGTATGTGGTGATATATGTTATATAGTTGTTCTACAAATGTGTTTTTATAATAGTATGAAATATGTTTTACCTAATGTGTACATGATTGTTAAATAAGATATTTTTATGTTATGTAACATTAAAAAATGTATTGTATTTTATAGTTAGTATATATGTTTATATAATGGTGTTTCCATGATTTCAAAGTAGTGTGACTTGGCAAACGTGTAGAGCAAGATTTGTCAACCTTACCAGTAAAGCGGTAATACTGCCTTAATTCTAAGTGTTGCCCATCCTTTAATATATCTATTCTAAAAATACTTAACATTATCTAAGATAATTTTTTGCGTTATGTTGGTTCCATTGCCTTATCTTTAAGTTAGTGTCAATTATTAAAAATGATTAAAAGGCAGTTTCATTACTAAAACTCACTGCTTTTATTAATTTACTAAAGTCATTCAAGACATCATTTCGCTATAAATACATTTTGTTTATCATAAAATAACAATATTTAACAACTACTACTCAGGTATCACAACAGCTTATCTTTATCAGGTACATTGATTTTCAATTCACATATGATGTTTTTCTTTGTATTTACTTAGTCGTTACATTTTTTAACTTCTGATTTATCATATAAATATTATCTCAAAGAAAAAATAAAAAGAATAGAAAAAATTTGCATATATATACATACATACATATATATATTACTTTAGACTGACATTGCTTCATTTTTTTTATACAAGGTTTTGCATTTATTATTTTTGTGCATTAAGATAGTGCCTGAAGGTAAAAATAACTTTGTGCATTGCAGTCTAAATTCTTTGTTAAGTTAAAAGTAATGTATAAAAATAAATAAATTTTGTTTTGTATTTTTAATGAACGACTTTTTTTATATAAACTTATAAAAATATATATAATAAATCTTAATTTAAAATAAAGTATTTGATTAGAAAAGATCACAATTCGTAAAATTATTTTACATTCATTTATTCATTTGTAACAGTAGTATAATCACTGGTAATATGTTTAATGATAACAGATGTGTAATATTAGGCTTGAAGAAGTTTTTAGTGTAAATGGTAATAAGCGACTTAAAAAAATTGTTGTCAAATGAAAGAGATAGATCTAGGCTTGATAAAATTATGTGTTGGTGTCTTTTTGATGTCTATTAATATAGTTTTACATTAGACACTTAAAAATAAAGCCAAGTATGAATTTTATTATTCATAGTAACAGTAACAGTTTCAAATTTAAATAATTCTAATTTTTTTTTTATTTTTTTATTTGTAATCTCAAACATAAATTTGCTCTTTTTTTTTTTTTGTTGCCTTTGTCATCACTTGATTATTTTGTAAATTTAATATGATGTGACATTTACTATATTGATCATTAGTCAACAGTTAGAGAGAAACTGAAGCTTAATTAAGCAATGCTGGAAATTGACTTTTAATTAAACTAAAAATATTTTTGTTTATTGGTAGCATAATAAAACCAGTTACTTTTTTAAACATGCTGCTTTTAAAACACTTCTTTTCTCTCTCTCTCTCTCTCTCTCTCTCTCTCTCTCTCTCTCTCTTAGATGAGACTTTAATGAGAGTTAGTATAGCGAGAATTGATAAAACTCATGTAATTACTGAGCTCTTGCGTATTTTTTAATACTACAATGGATACCATTTATAAGATATATTTTACGAGTTGCTTGCTATTTAAAGATATAGTTCTTTAAATTGTTTAACTATAATTGCCCCTTGGTTGTTCAAATATTGTAATAAATAAAATCTTTTTAGTTTCAAATATTTTACTTTAGGGAACGTCCATATATTATATAATGCGAAATTAAACTTATAGAAAAAAGAGGTATCTCTAAAACCGTGTTTCTCTCATAGTCAACTATATGTTGCATGTTCAAAAACTAGAAATTTTAAAAGTTTGTTTTTCAAAATTGATAAGCATCCTATTCAAGGTAAGGTAGGTGAAAAGTGTTACGCAAATAGTGTTATACTTTCTAATGTTTTTAATTTATAATCTTTAGATTTTAGTTTCGAAAATTTACTGTTAAAGGTTGTGAGCATTTTGTATGTGTAACTTTATTTATTACTAATATATTTTTTCCATAGTTTTTGATAAATATGTCATTTAATATTGTTATAAAATGAGTTTATATGTGTTATATTAAGTCATATTTATTTATAGTTGTATATATGATTAATCTATGTTGTTTCCATGTTTTCAAAGTGGTGTGAGTTGGTATTATGTTGAGCAAGTTTGATAACCTTGCTAGCCAAGCGGTACACTTATAGAAGAGGTGTGACTTGACAGCTTTTAATACCAGAAAAAAAGATAAATATAGTTAGCTCTAAATTGGTTATTTAATTTTGCTTTTCAAATTTTAATTTAGTTTGTTATTTTCACTGGATTTTATTGTTATGTGTTTTTGTTGTAATGTTATTGTTGTGATGTTTTGTGTTGATAGGCAGCTTGGCTTACCTTCGGCGTCTATTGTTAAAAATGAATAATAGGTAGTCTCACTATTGGAACTTACTGCTTTTATTTATTTACTAAAAACCAAAGCAACATTTTGCCAAAAGTGCAAATTATATCTAAATAAATTATAACTGCAATTTTTAAATAAGTAACTATAAATAGGGAAATCGATTTTCAATTTTTATGTAGTGTGTTTTTTTTGTTTTTGTTTTTTTTCGTAATTATAATATCATAATTGCATTACTTTTTTATTTTAGATTTACGTTATGACGCATTATTAAGATTTATTTGTTGTACGTATCTTAGGGGACATTTGTAAACGAGGGGTCATAACTAAAAACCTTTAAAACATGGAGAATACTGTAGTTTTGCGCAACCGTCAAATATTGATTTATTTTTTCTTTACATGTTTAACTAATTAGTTAGCTTAGTCTGCATTTGAAACACTTTAAAGAAAGAAAATATTTTCATATATGAATCTATGTATATAAAAACTTTTTATGTCAGGAAACGAGAAAAAACGTATTAAATCAAAATTATTACTTTAATAAATTCAAAAAAAAAATTTCAGCTCTCTATTCAAAGTGTACGGAAAGGTCTGACTTGGAATGTTTTACTATACAATGGTGGAACTGTCTTCAAAGAACAAATTTTCATCAAAAAGTAAAATATTAAAAAAAAATGACGTTTTTGTATACATTGATTCATATGTAAATCATTGTTTTACATTTTATTATTTTGGATAAAGGTCTTCATCAAAAACTCTGAATAAAAAAATTCTACTCACCAAGCCACCATTATTGAATAAAAAAATTCAACCACCAAGCAAGAAGAGGGGAGAAACACTTTAGTAGTGTCAAAATATTTAGAAAAATTAAATTTCGAGTAACAAAAGGAATTTTAAGTAAATGGTAGGAAAATACCGTTTACTAAAAATTAATGAAATAAAGAGGCCAAACAAATATTATAAAAATGGTCTGTGTTGACCAGACTTAACAAGACCCGGGTCCAGTCAGCTTGGTTTTACAAATTTTTATATCTACTTATCTGTTACAGTTTTTTTATTTTAGGTTCGTCATATGACGCATTAATACAATGTAAAAGATCAAAGTTATCATGTTTTTTAAAAATTTGTTATACACGTGTTTGATTGTGAAATTAGTTTTTTTAGTTTGAAACGTATTTGTACTCAGCTTCTTAGTAGTTCCTGTATAAGTTCATATCAACCTCAATTTACTATAAATTTAGCTATAGCCAAGACAATAAATTTAGCTATATAAATGCAATTAATTTATATCTCAATTTGATTTTTTATCTTCAATGTTTATAGTTTGGCTCCTTGAAGCATTTTATTTTCTGCTTTTTAATTTAAATATTTTGAAACTATTGTGATGTCTTCTAAATTAAACTAAAGTTTACTAAAAGCCAACATTAAATAACGTAATAAAATAACACCGATAAGAACTGCTGCATCATGACAGCAACTGAAGTATGATAACAGGTTACCAAAAGGTAAATTGTTTTCCAGTCATTTTTTTTTTTTTTTTATGTCTCCTTTTTTTTATGCCTTTTTTATGCCTACTGTTGCTGTTACAATTATTATTTTAGGTTTGTCATATAATGCAATATAAAAGATCAAAGTTAACTCTTTTTTTAAATTTGCTATACACATGTTTTATTGTAAATAATTTTTTTTTTTTTGAAACGTATTTGTACTCAATTGCTTAGTTATTTATAATAAACTTATTTAGTTGTGTGCATTTAACTTTTTTAAGATAACAAATTTTCTTTTCTAAAGAAAAATTTATAAAAATATAATACAAGAATTTAGTTGATATTTTTGTCAATTTAAAGAATGGTGAAGTGTTATTATTTTGTGTTGAACTTAGGAATGTCGATAAAAATGGTTCTGCCTTTCACTGATATGACCTATGTCAGTTGTAAATTACTCCAATTATGTGTTAAATAATAGTTGGTAAATTATTTTTCCTCCTCATACTTTTTATGTTAATTTTACAGATAGATTATTTTTTTCAATTTAAAGGCGTTTTTCTAAAAGGGTATTAGTTAAGAATTAGCAACTTTAAATTGTGGAAAACAGCCACTATAAATTAATTTTTTTTTTTTTTTTTTTTTTTTTTTATGTTGATTTAGGTGCCCCAAGAAGTCCTTACGGTCTTATCACAGAGCACCGCGGAAGAGCATTTAATAGGAAGTTCACGCCTCCTTCCTAACCGATGTCGCAAAACTTGCCCAGAGGTGGTTTGAACCGCGGATCTTACGTTCCTGAGGCAAGTGCGCTACCACTGCGCCACGGCTGCTTTTTTATGCTTAATTATGTAACAGACTGACATAACCCGTATTACGGGATACTTTTTGCTAGTCTAAATATTGATACCGCAGTAAATATTAGGGTAAGGCGAGTGAATACTAGTTTAAAGGCAAGATCGTCATGTTTTACTTTAACAAAACGAGTTGGCATATAAATAAGTTAATTTTTTTAGTTTAAAAACTTTTTTTTATTAATTAGTGTCTCTACTTTGTTAATGCATTGAATCAAAATAAATTCTAAAGTTACTTTAGCGTATAACTTGATTTTATCGTCATCAAGTCATGAGGGGCGAATTCGTCAATTACGGGGCGATTTCGTCAGTACAGCTAAACTAATTAAAAAATACGTCACGCGGGCGATAGACGAAATTTCTTTCTAGTGGTAAAGGCAGCTTACCAAGGAGTGAAAAAAACTTTGACATAAAACATTTTTGAGGTCACAGTAGGATGATTCCTCTAATCTAGAATAGTAAACCTAGAAGTTGCGAGTTCAATTCCCACCGCGTCCCTTGTAGTACCGCGCTCAACTTGTTTTCCGGGCAGTGGCCTTGATCGTCAAGGTTCATGTTTCGGAGTTATAGAGTTGAGAGAGGGTTGTAACCACAACTAAAGTAGCCTCCTCAACTGCAGTGGCCTTCATGGCCTTGAGGAGGTGAATTGAAATAAAAAAAATCTAAAAGGACATCAGTTGTTAAACTTTTTCCTAAAACAATGATTTTGGCATAAATAAAAACCGCATAACCACGCAAGCGCAAAAAATAGCACGCTAAAGCAATAACAAAAATTATTTCACTACTATGGCTATTTAAGAGTTTACAAGACGTTTATATGTTCTTTGCACACAATTTGCACATGTATCAACTCCAAAACATCCTTTGCATGCCCACTGATTGCATCTTAAACATTTAAGCAAATCTTTACTTGCTTCTGCCCAAACAGCTGCACAAACACAACTAAAGTCTTTATCAGTATTATTATTTAGAAGAAAACTTCAAAAACTTGGGTAATCAGAATCAGCTGAAAAAAAAGCCTTCTTTGATTTGTTTTTAACTGATTTATTGTGATCCATTTTTGACTTCTGTTTAACACTGACCACATTTTTTATTGCAGTCTTTTTAGCAGTAGGCTCTTTTATTAACTCAACATTATCTGGTGATGTAATAAGAGCAATGTGGCGTTTTGAATAAGTAGGTTTGCTTTTAATTTCAGGAGAAGGTACAATAGTTCTTAAAATAGATAAATTTGAATATCCCTGGTGACTTGTTGCTTTATTGAAAACCTCTGCTTTTTTATATTCGAAGTTTTTTACTGGATTTCTTAGGGGATGCAAACCACAATGGTAAAACGCATTAACAATCAATCCTCTTTTTGTAAGTATGTTGGGCCATATTTTGTTAAAAATAATGTGAGAGTTGCAATGAGGCAAAAAAATATCATCATTTTTAGCTAAGTAACTAGACAAGGCTTCAGACCACATATGTTTAACTACTTTATTAACATGTGTGTCAAGTGGTTGAAGGCTAGTGTATTATGAGGTGGAATGCATATTATTTCAAAATCCATCTCAATTGCTAATTCAATCGCTTCAATAGTCGCATGACTTTTGTGGCTATCCAAAAATAACAATACTTTTTTCCCATTCACTTTTGTACGAAACTCATTAAAATGATGTAAAAAAGCAATAAAAATCTCTTGATCAATATATCCGTTTTTACTGCAATGTACTTTTGTACCCAAAGGAAGTTTTGATGCATCTAGAATCTTTGTTCCCTTAAATATGAAAAATGGCGGTAAGTTGTCACCTGCTGCATTGACAGAGGCCAGGTATCATGTTAGTGTGCTACGTTCACCAATATTTAACTTTTGTACCTCATAAGAACCCTTTAGTGCTATTACCTTAGCAGAGACATTTGGCACAGATGAAAGGCCAGTTTCATCACAGTTATAAATCAAATTTGGATAATTTTTTATGTCGAGCTGTTCATAAAAAGGTTGTAAATCGTTAAAAAATGTCTGAATGCGATTCTCATTATCAAGAAAGCCCTTCAGGAATTCTTATCGTCAACTGAGTATGCCTATTTCGGAATGAAAGAAACCAATCACGTGATGCCAAACATTTATTATGCCAACTTTTTAAAATGGACTTCTGTAATAAATGACGTCTACACAAGCTTTTGGCATAAAAATAAGCAGCAGATCTTAACCATATTATTGTGAGAGGAAACCCTCTATCAGCTTTTTGAACAAGAGTTTCTTCTTGGATTAAAAAAAAAATTGTTTTACCACCTATAGAATGTGTTTGATGTTTTCCTCGTAATTTATCAATCAATGTTGCACGTGGAATATTAAATTGTTTTGCTGCAGTTGATATAGTTTCTGCATTTATAATGGTTTGTAGAGCAGCCGGAATAATTTCTGCATTATAATTTTTTTGTCGCTTTGGTTTATAATTACGTACCATCTATATGTTTTAACATGAAAAAAAATGTTATTAAAATCTACCATATTTTCAAACTATGTTTTTTTATTATAAAATTTTATTTTTTCAAAAAACATTATAAATTAGTCAAAAAGTATAATTTATCATACATACTTATGTATATCTACAATACATACATATGCATATTTTTTCTTTTATTATTATATTTAATAAGCATATTATTCTTATGCTTTTTTTATGTTAATATATATATATATATATATATATATATATATATATATATATATATATATATATATATATATATATATATATATATATATATATATATGTATATATATATATATATATATATTTATATATATTTATATAAATGCATATTTTCCAATGAATGATACATTTGTTTATAATAAATACTACAACAAATACTTATAACAAATATTTTTTACTGTACACACATTTTATACTATATACTTACTATTTACTTTTTACAATATTTAATATTTATAATAAAAAGTATAATATATATTTTTTAAAATAGAATAAGATATTTGCTATATAATATATAGTAAAAATCTTATTTTACTGTAAAAATAGTAAATAATATTAAGTATTCTCATAATATTTATTAAAATCTCAACAATGTTTTAACAATATTTAATATTTATACATATCTTAAATATGTATAAAAATATATAACATATATGTTTTATATACTTATTATTTACTATATATACATTTCAGACTATACATTATAATAAGTTTGTTTACATGTTTCACATCAAAGTCGTGTTTATAATAAAAACTTTAAAAAGTTTTAAAAGCTAACTGTAAATTAATATATTCTGAAAAGCCTGTCTCTTATAGTTTTGGAGTGCATTTTAAGCAAAAGCTTTGGAGTGCATTTTGAGCACAATTTGTTTTTCTTTTAAACTGCACTCGGTAGTTTAAAAATTTGCGTGATGAAACAACCTAATTTATTTTGAGTATTAACTTTTTTTTAACAACAAAGTTGCCCCTCATTTGAGTTGAGCATGTGCTAACAATCATTACGTGACAATTCCAAAGGCAAAAACATAGTAACTTAAATTATTATTTTAAAACTACTGACATCAATCAATCAAAAAATATATACTTTGTGGTCAAAACATTGCGTATTTTGATAATTTTTTGAAGATAGGCATTTAAGCAGAAAAATATTTTTTCAACTTCAATGTTTACTTGCAATATTTAAAGAATAAACTAAGGTAAATATATAAAACATTTATTTAATAATATTCTACAAATATCAATTGAAAAGGTTTCGAAAAAACCTAGTAAGTAAATTTCTTAGCTTTTATGTATTATTATTTTAATGCTGAGTCGCATAAGTGACGGAATCGCTCCGTGACGAATTCACCCCGCCTTACCCTATTACTATTAGTGTCGTTTCACTTTCGTTTTCAAGGTAGTTTCTAGACTTTTCGTTACGCGATTTTATATTCCACGCGGTCTTTCGAGCAAGGTCTTCAAGGGCAAGATTGAAAGTCTTTTTTTTCAAAAGGAATGAT